GGTATCAATATAGTGACATCACTATGTATCATTCATGAGCTTGACGCCCCATTCATGTTTTACTTCCACTTTTCTTGTTTTCTTGTACTATATCTGCATTTGCATGAAATGCGGCCTACTCTGTTGGCATAAAGGCTCATGTATGTTCCTTCCGTCTTATAACTTGTAATTTACTCTCACGCTTCCGTCTTATACCTGTTTTATGTAGGTATTATACACACTTTCTGTCCAATCTGCCTTACCCCTCTATATTGCCATTAGATTTATTCATTAAGTAGATATTCCGATGTAGAACTCAATTCAGTCCTGCCTTTTGATGTCTTACTTGTATGTTAAAAAAAAAGAAAAAGAAAAAACTATTATGTTGTTCATATTCCTTATTTCCTCTGATGCCTATAAAATATGCAATTCCTTATTTTCTGTTCTTCTCTGTGGAAAACTAATACTATTTTAAAAGTTTTGATGTGTTCACTTTAATGGGGTTTTGATCTATTTTCCTGAGCAGATGTTCTTTTCTGGCATCAAACATGTGCTCAGATTTTCTTTTAATTTTTTGAACTGTTGTTTATGAGGATTATAGTTTTTCCTGTCATGGGCTATATATCATTTATTTCAAATTAACTTTCTTATGAGTTATCTTTGTGTGAGAGCTAGAACCATCAAAGAATGAAAATTAATAAAGGAAAAACAAATTTGGAGAAGAGTTGAATTATTAAAAGTGATATTGTGATCACATAGTATAAGATTAGCTTTCTCCAAAATCATTCTACTGAGAAACAACTTAATCCCAAAGGAGCACGCTTATATTTGGCCCATAAAAGTAGAAATAGTGGGCCTCCAAGACTCCAAGATAAAAATTAGCCGCAACTCTACAGAAATACTGAACTGACGATATGTAATTTAGGATGAATCTTTATCTTTCTGTACATCTATCTAGCTGTAATTTTTGTCTGGTATTGTAGTACCGAGCTGGTATTATACTGGATTTATTTTTTTTCATTTGAAAATTTGAAATGTAGTACTCTAATATTCTATTGAGATTGTTAATGAAAGGCTCATGGGTGAAACCANTTTTTTTTTTTTTTTTTTTTTTTTTTTACATTTGAAATGTAGTACTCTAATATTCTATTGAGATTGTTAAATGAAAGGCTCATGGGTGAAACCACATCACATTGTTTCCTAGATTCCTCTGCAGGGGCTCTTTGAGGCTCAAGCTGGCATTTGTTTGAAGCTTTTCAAAAGCTCAACTTTTGAGTTTTTTGGAGAAAGTGTGTGTTTGACCTGTTTTTGGGAAAAGAACGAGTTTTCAAGTCTTTGAAAAATTTGGAAGCCCAAGTGTGGAAAATCTTCAAAANGAGCTGCAATAATTCAATAAACACCTTTTGTTATTTAAAAAAAACTCAAAAACTGAGGTTTGCAAACTCAAGTATCCAAAAAATTGAGTAATCGATCATGCAGAAAGGTGGCGACTATGACGACACCACCTCTAGAGGGGAGCTGCCGCAGCAGAAGTGACGGCAACATAGTCATATTCTCCTTACTGCAGAGAAATAATTAAACATACTATGACTACTAATATTCCACAATCTCGGACTAGTGAAAGTCAGCTATATGAATCATTAAGATCATTTTCTTCATCCAAAAATCATTAAGATCATTTTGGTCCATTTCATATCAGATTGAAGTATAGAGTAGCTTTATGAAGGAATATTAGGAAAATGTGGGATAGTTTCTACGGAAATGCTTGAAACCAGGCAAAAGAGCTAGGAATCGGTTTCTGAAAACATATATAGTGGCTGAGATGTTGCCTTCTGTGAAGTACTTCGGATTGTATTCAATATTTCTTGCTAGCAGACACCAGCAGTTCTGCAAATAAATTGGAAGGGTGAATCCTATGGACCTAAAATTCAGAGGAATCTGTTAAGATCAGGAAAGTTGCTTGGTTGCTCATCAGCAGAAAATCTAAAGTATGGATAGTAATAGTTGGAGATGAAAAGGGCAGAGGGATGTATCTTCAAGATTCTTAAAACTGAAGGAAATGGATTTTCGACACTCCACTGTGGATACTTAGGGTGCTGACAAGATTTGCTTTTTTGAGTGGACAACAACTTGAGATCCATTCTAAATGCATAATACTTGAAATGAAAAAAAAAACTGTTTACATAAGTTGGTAAATGTGCTAGAGATTAAGAAAAAGAAGTCTATCGTTTGTTACTTTACTGTCTGGTAACATAGAAGCTATGGCGTGTTATGTGGAAATTATTGAAGTGGTGATGCCAGATATCATATTATGATGGAAAATCAGGAGGAAAAGGCTGAGAAGAAAAGCATGGTAGTGTCCATGAGGTAAATATAGAAAGGAATGAATAGAATATCGTTTGGAAGAGTTGAAAATACCTTCCTTCTCAAAACAAGTAGAAAATACGTTGTACAAATTATTTTTGACACTTCTGGCGCAGTATATATGTATGGATTCTGTTTGTTGAGAATTATCATTTAAGGTTTGAGATTCTGTACTATTTTGTAAAATTTTATGCGGAATTATTCCTACCATATCAGTTCTTGTGATGTTGTTATTTCTTTCTATGGTTTTATTGATGTTACTGATATATTGTCTCTCTTCGCCTTCTAGAGCCGAGGGTCTATCGGAAACAGCCTCTCTACCCCTTGGGGTAGGGGTAAGGTCTGCGTACACACTACCCTCCCCAGACCCTACTAGTGGGATTACACTGGGTCGTCGTTGTTGTATTCCTACCATATCAATATAATTAGTTACATCATTAAAAAGAACACAATGATAGAGTAGTTATGTGTTCAAGACTTCAAGCTGGTTTCATTCCTTTTATGATCATATACTTCTGTCTTTTCTTGTTGATAGTTTTCTCTGTAGTATGCTTCGTTGTAACTGGGCATGGTATCTTTATTACTTCATAATATTATGATTAGTGCAATGTTTGTTCTTTTAAATTACCCATGTTCAGTTTCAAATTTGCAAGCTTAAATATCTGATCCTTTTTTTTATAAAATATATAACATATAAGTATATAACTATTTGGAGGACTAGGAAAATTCTGGACAAGGTAGTTGCTTCTTAAATTTTATTTATTTTTCATTTTTTAAATGAAGTTTTGGCTGTTGCATTTACATGATTTTGTACTTCGTTGTTATCCTATTCATGCTTACCTCTCACCTCCCTCTTTTAACCCACCCACTTACCTTATTCTACTAACTGATAACCATAGAAGAAAGGAAGATAGCTCAAAGATAAGCACCTCTTTGCTTTACAGCAAAGAAAATTTTGAAGCAATGGAAGAGGAAACGGAGGAAATGGAAGAGGAAATGGAGGAAACAACCAACGGGAAGATATTTCTTAAGTGCAGACTAGGGCGTGCTGAACGAGTCCCTGATTTTGATGACTTAGCTGATTTTATTGAGTGCAAGCAAGGAAAGGACTACCCTTTCTGGCTAAAGCATTGGCAACAATATCGTAAGTTGAAATGTGACAAGATGGCATTGTTAAGGTGGAAAAGGAAGAAGAAATCTTGGAAAGTCATGAAAAGGAACTAAACTTGAATTAACTTGAAGACTTCTCCTTGGAAAGTGAACTAGCGAGTTGAGCTTCATTGAATTGACACTGGACATGTGTGGAGATGGCCTGCTGGACAATTGCTGTACAATGAACTTTCGACGACGGTTCCTCAGTGCATGTAAGGAAATTGTTAAATAAGGTATTTATTTAATGTCTGCAGCCTCATTTAAGTAGGATGAAATCCTAAGACTGATATGCTTGGAAGTCAGATCCTAACAAGTTAGTGGAGCTTCTTGTTTTCCTTGTTAAGGCGGTGGAATGACCATAAAATCCATGAAAGTTTCCTCTTTAACATGATTATGCTGATATTACATCTTGATTGAGGTATATCAGAGTATAATGGTCAACCGGCTTGCTGAATTTAACTTGGATCAAGGTACTAGATTCTTTTACTGAAAAATTTATTCTGGTTTCATGCTTCTCTTTTTTATTAATTTCATCTTTTTTATTTCATTTTCTCTAGAGCACCCTGTAAGTTTTTATAAAGGAGCTCGAAGGTGTCTACAGGATCTTCAACCTGCTCTGCTCTCGCCTTTTGATGCACAACAAACATCAGGGGAAAGGTTTTTAAGCTGACAGCTTCATTTGCTAATCAGAAATACACTCCGTCAGAGGGAGAACCAAGAAAGTTATGAGTTTGTATGGTTCGTCCAGGTTGACCATAAGAAACTTGTATTATAGGATTTCATGCTTAAAAGGTGCAAAACTTGTCTAATATCCCACCATCGTTAGTGCTTTTGTTGTGTACATTCCTGTAAAGTTTCTATCAAATGCTTTGGAATGTGAGATTCAGTTATGAGTGTTTAGAGTAATTTTCCCTCTTCTTCTCTTACTGATAGTGTCATGCTAAGTTAAAGAGATGGCGAAAGATAAAGCTGGACCGGATAAAATGAGTAAAATGTGTTGCAATTGCAGGCTAATTTGCCAAAACTCTTGATACCCATTTGCTTATTTTGCTGATTATATTTTCAACTTTATGCTGGTCTATACAGTGTATCTCATGGGAAATATTTTGCATCAACTGTGATTTGACTGAAGGGGAGCCTTGGAGCAACGGTAAAGTTATTTCGGTGTGATTTATAGGTCACACGTTCGAGCCGTGGAAGTAGCCACTAATGCTTACATTAGGGCGCTCTGTCTACATTACACCCATTGAGGTGCGACCCTTCCTTGGATCCTGTAGGAATGCGGGATACTTTGTGCACTGAGCTACCATTTTTTTTTTTTTTTTTTTTTTTTTTTTTTTTTTTTCTGTTGTGATTTGACCCCTTTTTGGCTAGTAGGTAAGGAAAAAAAAGGAAGGAGTTTCAATTTGCTTGTTTGTTTTTAATAAAAGAAAGGAGGAAGGTGATTAGGGAGATGAACTTTTTATCAAATATGGTGTTTGTTTAGAAATACCGCATTGACAACATTAGCATCAAGTTTGTACAATAAGCAAGAAAATTATTGGATTCTGCATTAATACAAAAACCATCTCTACTATGCAGAACATGTTTACATGTGTGAAACCTGAAAGCAGAATGGATGGTCACCTTAGTCACAATTTACAGCAAACCTCACTTCCACATCTGCACAATTTAATTGGTTCAGTCAGGACTAGGCTGTAGTAGAAAGCCTAAGATATACATGGCAGGGCAGAATTTTCAATCATCTTTTACTCTAAAAGTTTTCTTTAGTAATACCAAGTCGCTATATTTAAATGGAAAAAGGAAAAAAAGATAGAGGCATTCCACTTGGCGGCTGTAAAAAAATTGAGTCTCATTTACATCCGGACTGAACCAGTAACCTGAACTCTGCTGGAACTGGCTTCATTGTTCTTGATTGAGAGGTTGGCAAATTGGGCTTCAAGATCTCTGCTTTTGTTTCGACGATGTTTAGAGTGATTCTGCTGTTGTGGCTGCTGATGCTGTTGTTGTTGCACTTGTTGCCTCTGCATCTGATACAGAGTTTGTAACCTTGTAAGTTCCCTCTCCAACATCTCTTGCTCCACTGCATCAATCAAACATGATCTTTAAGTTTTTCTATGAAACAATTAGGTTGGCATTAAAAAGCATGCATACAACATATATAACTCAATGCTGAGTAATAATAAGGCTGTAAACATTAACATGAAAGATACATACAATGTTTTATGAGCTGCTCTTGCGATAAGCTATCCAAACGCTGCCTCAGGGCTCTATTCTCCATGCTCAGTATAATATTTTGTTGGTCAAGAAATTCAAGCTCAGCAGAGAGTTCAGATCCTTCTGCCTGAAATCTCAGCACATAAAAATGTGTTACAATTCTTGTTTCTCCCTTTTTCCCCCTTCTTTGAAAGTAAATTTTTTGAGGGAAAGTGCAAATAAAAAGTCAAATGATGTATTTGTACTCCATCTTTCCATTATGGATTTCTAGTGTTTCTTTAATTGTCAATATCAATGTCTTATAATATTACTATTTTTGATAGCTAAACAAAAAGACACATCAATGTTTCACATTACTATAATATATATAACTTTCTAAACTCAGGATATAAAAGGCATATATTGAACTAAGATAAAATCTATCAGACACTTACTTTTACCAAGTAAAATAAACAACAACAACAACATATTCAGTGACATTCCACAAGTGGGGTATGAGGATTATAGTATATACGCAGACCTTACCCCTACCTTGTGAAGGTAGAGAGGCTGTTTCCGATATACCCTCGGCTCAAGAAAATAAGAATCTTGGTTGTCCAAATAAGTCAGTTATTAGGCCAATCCAAGAAATAGGGCAATTTTGCAGTATGTACCTGCAAAGCTTGAACTGTTCTTTCAAGTTCAGCTATGTGCTGAAGTTTTCTGACACGTGATCGGTGAGCAGATTGCCTGCATAATTCAGATTTATATACAGCAGTGTACTCTTTAAAACCTTACTGTAATGTTTGGCTTGTGTAATTCAGATTCAACTAGTAGTTGACATTGTAATGAAACCTTACTGTTTAGCACGTTTTGCATCAGCCTTGGACATGGAATGTTTGGCTTGTGTATTGTTTGATCTTTCACTAGAGCCCTCTTTGTTTTGTGTACTTGTGACCTCTCTGTTATGCTTCTCATTCAATTCCAGAGCAGCCTATATATGAAGTAAGGATCCTCATTAGCTTCAGAAGTCATGTCTCGATCGCGTATTCAGATATTAAAACAATTCTGTACAAGCTAAATTTTATCTTAATAGGGCATGCACACCTTAGCAAAAGTTGGCTTTGTGTCAAAGGAAACTGAAGTAAAATGATCTTTGTAACTGACATAGTTGATTGAAGATCCTCCTACATTTACATTGTTGTTATTTTCCCTTGTGTTTAACCTCTCTGCAGCTGCTCCTATGTATGCGAAAGTGTCGCTAGCTGAACGACGATGACCTTTGTGTACAACTAGTGTTTCTGCAGGTTCATTTAAAAGGTCATCAAGCCAAGAAGGTTGCTCCTCTATAAGAAAGCTCTCCGAGTTACACCGATGATGGTGACTCGATCCTGATCCCTCTGAATTGGAGTCCATGATCAACTGCTTGTTTGAAAAGGAGAAATTTTTCAAGCTTGATCCATTTGAACTTTCCATTTCTAAAGAAATATCTGCAAGTGATCAATGTTTGAAGTGATTAATTAATAACTAACAAAGGGCTTTACTATGAATACCTTTTAAATGACATAAATAGATCTCTGAAGGGGAGTCTTGGTGTAACTGGTAAAGTTGCTGTCATGTGACTAGGAGGTCATGGGTTTGAGCCATGGAAACAATCTCTTGCGGAATTATAGGGTAAGACTGCATACAATAGACCCTTGTGATCTGGCCCTTCCGCGGATACCGCGGGAGCTTAGTGCATCGGGCTGTCCTTTTTTAGAACAACCTAAGTTTTCCCTTTTTGAACCCAGAAATCCTAAAAGATATGAAGGCAATCCGGTGCACAAAGCATCCCTCATTTATGCAAGGTCCGGGGAAGGGCCACACCTGAAAGGTGTGATGTAGACAATTTACCCTAATCCAAGCATTAGTGGCTACTTCCACGGCTCGAACCCAGAACCCAGGACCTATAAATCACATGGAGATAACTTTACCGTTGCTCCAAGGCTCCATTTCTAAAGGATGATGAACACAAATAGTAGCCTGAAAATTTCATTTTCTTTTATATGCACATTAATTGTGCTCTAGGCAAATCTTGAGATGCTTTAGGCTTTCACCAAATGCAATTTGAGGCTCCTAATAAGGAAAATTAAAAGAACAATCCGAATTTGAAGGCAAAATAAGATTAACAAACACTATGACCAGAGTATAGGTTAAGATCACCGATATGAATCATTCTAACGCCGACATTAAGTCAAGTTTAAAATTGGGAGTTTTAATCAAACAACATCTTGGTCATAGTTTTTATCTATCATGGAAAATAAAATCGTCATAAATGGAATTTAAACATTTTTTGCTGCAAATAATATACTCTATTTCAAAAACCACCAACGTTTAAATTCTGAATTTCCCATTGTACACGACGCGGCGAAACATGACGAATGAAATAGCTAAGTATTAAAAATATATGATAAAATTAAGAGCAATCATTTACAAATCAAGTGATCAAAAAGAAGGAAATTTCACATCAATTCTTCATATGATATGCTTTTGATATAATTCACTACATCACAAAACAAAGAAGGAAAACTTTTGAATTACCAAAGAGGGACGTAGAGACTAATTAAAGAGAGGAACGTAACCCCAAACATGGGGGGTCTCAGCAAAGAGGTGAAGTTGAGAGACCCCACGCTTTGGTCCTCAATCCTATATTTGCATTTGCATTTGCTTTTTCATTGTTCTAAACAGTCTCTAATCTTCTTGAAATTCAAGAGCCAAAAAGAGAGAAAGAGCGCACTTTACGTAAACCAAAGGAAAAGGGATCCTACCACGTTGAAAAAATTTCAGCTATTTTTATTTTCAATTAAAAATTGTCAACTATAATCACATTCTTCTTTTTATGTTTATTTTTAATTTTGAGTCGTATCCAAGAAAATGTGTATAAGAATTTATGACACGAACAAGCAATAAAAATAGTAGTCAAATAATAACATCACAAAAAAGCAGGCACATGTACGTCGTACATAATTGAAGGGGTTTAATTGAATCCTTTTTGTCCGAAAAAATATGATATAATCAATTTTTTTTGTAATTATAATATTCTTGCATTTTGAGGCAATCCCCCACCCTAGGCTTGATTAATTGCCTAAGATAAACTATTTGTAGACTAAATAATGCCGGATTAAGTGGTTTGAGCGAGGTTTGAGGGGTTGGAATGACATTGTGTTATAAATAATGTAGATTGATCGTGTTGAGCGTGTTTTTGACTTCGCAGCATCATTATTCTAAAGCTTTATATGTGATTTTTGACGCCACGACACTTATTTATGAAGTGTTTTCCTGTTATGACAATGCTAAATGGTATTTTGAAATGTTATACTCCTTGTGAGAATGCTTTTAGACTTTGACTTACGTTCATTAATTAGTCAAATTACTTGTTTTAAGCTTGACTCTTTAAAGTATGACCTTGTCACTACAAGAAATATGTGATATATCGACATTTAATTAGTGACACTTATGATAAATGTCGAAAAAAGGTTCATTTAGCGACATTTGTTAAAAAGTTGTGATAAAAATACCGACATTTGTTGAAATATGTCAAAAAATATTTTGACATTTGATTTAAATGTCACATTATTAGAAATATAATGACATTTAATTAGTGACAGTTATAATAAATGTCAAAATGATTCTTTTGCCCACAAGAAAAATAATTTCAAACATTTTGATGGGCATTACTTTCTCTTCTTTTTACGGGATCCAAAAGAATTAAAAATCATTCAACCCTATTCCTCCACACCTCTTCAAGCGGCAACCCCAAAGCACTATGAAACTTCAGGAAGAATTAACCTAAATAGTCGTTCATCCAACAATTTAAACTTAAAATAGTCAATTGATGTATAATATATATAATACATATATAATATGTGTATAACTATGTATAATTAGTGTATAATCTATATATACATCGGATTATACCGTGTTCTAATCAATCCATGTAAACCTCATCATGTAGATCACCTTGCAATAAGGCATTATATACATCCATTTGATGTATATGCCCTGAATTTGTTGCAGCCAAGGACAGAACAGTCCTCACACTTACAATCTTCACCACCAGAGAGAAGGTCTCATGATAGTCAAGACCTTCTCTCTGATTGTAGCCTTTGGCAATCAATCGGGCCTTGAATATTTCAATTCACCATTTGACTTAAGCTTCACTTTATAGACCCATTTTCATATCCAATTGGTCTCTTGCCAGAAGGTAGCTGAACCAACTCCCATGTATTATTTTCTTGCAATGCTTGAATCTCTAACTGCATAGCCTCCACCCATATGATGTCTTTGGAAGATTCAAGAAATGACTGAGGTTCCACCACAAAAGAAAAAACACTCAGATAAGCTTGGTAGGTGGCTGACAGAGCATCATAGGACAGATAGTTGCTCATGTAATGTTGTTGTTTAGAACCTGGAATTGCTGGGTTGATATAGTCTATCAACCATAGTGGCTTCTTAGAAAACCTTTGTGATTTTCTGATCTGGACTTCTGTTGGAGAAGAAGGTCCAGGGTCATTCACTACTGAGTCTGAGTAGTGATCTGCAGAAAAATCCTCAGAAGAAACCTCAGCAAGTGTGCGATCATTTTCAGGAACATTTTCTGACAGTAGTGGATTAGTAGAGGATTCTTCCACGTTGATTTCCTCATGTTCCTGAGCTAAAGAATCTGAAGGAAGAGAGTTGGTTAGATTATTGGTAGGGTTGATGGCGAGTAACTCAGGAGTTAAAGTAGTAAAAGGATCATGTTACAGGGAATGAGGTGATGTTGTTCTTTGGGTATCTTGAAAAGGGAAGACATTTTCCTTAAAAATCACATCTCTGTTGAAAAAAAACTTGTGCTCCTTCAGATCATACAAGATATAAGCCTTTAGATACTGCTGAATATCCCACGAAAATAGCTTTGGTAGCTCTAGGATCAAGTTTGTCACTTTCGGGCAAAACACTTGCATAACACAGACACCCCAAAGTTCTGAGATGACTGATAGTGGGCTTCCTACCAAAGAACAACTCATACAGTGACTTTCCTGATAGAACCATAGAGGGCAATCTATTAATGATGTAAATTGCTGCTAAGATGCAATGTCCCCAGAATCTTAGTGGAATATGACCTTGAAATCTTATTGCTCTAGCCACTTCAAGAATATATCTGTGTTTTCTCTCAGCCACTCCATTCCGTTGAGGTGTGTAGGAACATATTTTATGATAGAGAATTCCTAAATCTGTCGAGAAATTTCTAAACTCCTGATTCACAAACTCTCCTCTATTATCTGATCTTACAATTTTCACTACTTTAAAGAATGCTTTTAAGACAATCAAAATATCACACTTGAACTTCAACAGAAACACCCAAGTCACACGAGAGTAATCATCCACCACAATAAGAAAGTAAATATTTCCATCAAAAGTTTGAGTACTATAAGGCCCCCATACATCTAGATGTAACAATTCAAAATTTGCACATGATTTGCTAGTACTAGAAGGGAAAGGTAGTCGAGTATGTTTAGCTAAAGGACAAACTCTACAGTTTTCTAAAACAACTTTACAATTTTCTAACTTCAAACCTAGAAGCATGGGCCGACCTCCTATGCCAGAGTGAAACATCTAAGGGCTGTCCCTGAATACTTAGGCTTTTATTTATTATTTTTTCAATAATGTGAGATTTATCAGGAATTTGAGGAATCAGCAGGTATAGTCCTCCTTTCTCTCTACCAATCGCTTTCACATTCCCACTTGAGAGGTCCTGGAATAGACAAAAATCAGGATAAAATGACATCAAGAATTTGAGATCCCTAGTTACCTTTGAAACAGACAAAAGATTATACTGAAAAACAGGCACAAACAAGACATTCTTGGTCTCATTTGTCTTTGTAATTTGGCAACTACCAGTATGCGAGACTAGAGTAACTTCACCATTAGGAAGATGGACTTCTTTATTAACCAATGAGTCAATCTTCTTAGAGTTTCAGCATATTCATGTCAGATATTATGTAGTTTGTCTCTCCTGTATCAATTATCCAGTCCTTATCAGCTACACTACCCAAAAAAGAATGAATTGTACCTGCCATATTTGGAAAATTAGTTTGTGTGGGATCCTTGGAGAGCATTCTCAGAATTTGGTTGTATTGTTCTTTAGTGAATTACAGTGGCTGGCTATAGTACCAACAAGTCCTTTGTCCATGCCTTCACCTCTTCCAGCAATGGGACCAACTGTGTTGGGATGGACATTTTCAGCAGCAACATTATAGGCAGTATTCATATTTTCTTTCTTTTTATAATTATAATCAGTAGGATACCCAATTATCTTGTAGCATCCTTCCTTAGTATGCCCCTTTATCCTTCAGAACTCTCATTGCACGTTCCAGTTTTTCTTAGGCTTCTGATAGTTCCCACCCTTTGTGATCAAAAGTGCAGTTGCCTCATTCACCTCTCCAGAAATTGAAGCATGTGAGATAGAACGCTCACGTTCTCGCTCAATTATCATTGAATATGCCTTATTGACTGTAGGAGTAGGGTGTGTCATGATGATTTGACTCTTTGCTTGCTCATAGGTTTCATTAAGGCCCATTAGGAACTACAATAGTTTCTGTCGATGCAAATGTTCAGTAAAATCCCTAGATTTTGGGCAATCACAATTTCGAGGTATCATACTGTCATGCTCATTCCATAACTCCTTGAGCTTTGAGAAATACAATGAGACGCTGCTTGTCCCCTGATTCAATGTCGCAATCTCTTTGTGAAGTTGATAAATTCTGGAGGTGTTTACTTTATCGAACCGTTCCTTCAAATCATCCTAGACCTCGCGTTCATCCTTCGCATACCCTATACAATTCAATAATTCCTTTGAAACTTAGCTCATTATCCATCCGTGGACAATAGCATTACACCTATCCTATTGGCGACCTAAACCTAAGCCAAAATCCTCATTTTTTCAACTGTCGTCATTTAACCCTAACTTGTTCTTCCCAAGCAACTGGATCTTCATTGCACGACTCCAGATGGAATAATTCTCAGATGTTGTCAATTGAATGGAGATAATCGGTGCTCCGCTTGTATCTGAAGGATGAAGGTACAATGCATGGTTATGATCGAAGACTTCTTCTGCCATAGCTGGAATTGAGGATCAGAAATACCACAATCCACAAATTTAGCTGAAATCGAAGATCATAAATGCGAGGAAACAACGAATTGAGCGCACAATTATCACTTTAACGCTCTGATACCATGAGAAATTATGTGAAGAACAGAGATGAAGAACCCTGATTTGTTCTTACCAATAGAGAGAGAAATGTGAGAGATAAACCATTCTCATTTCTGTGTAAGAATCAAAAATGAAATCTAATATATTACAGTTGTACCTAACACTGTATATACTAAGACATATAACTAACATCTATACAGCTAACCGACTAACTGATCACTAATTAATTACTACTACTATTTATAATTATTCCCTTCACTAAGTAACACCTATTTCCACAATAAGGTTATTGGTACTCCATATAAGATAATTAATGTTGTTTTGCTACTTACCTTTTCCCTTAATTAGTTTGGTGATTTTTTTTTTCAATTTCAGATCTTCGATACACTAGATTTTGAAGGTTGTGAGATCAATTAGTGTGAAGGAATCCTGATATGGTGAAAGCATGAAACACTTCATCAGAAAACACATGGATGCTGAAACTCTAAAT